GCATTAAAGATAGGCAGAATTTAAAAATGGAACTTAATTCTTTCTCTTTCTTTGTGCTTTCTCTCTTTCCTCCCTCTCTTGCTCCCTTTTCCTTTCTGTCTCTTCCTTTTCTTTCCTGTTCTTTTTCCTGTGTTCCCTTCTTCTCTCCCTTATAATTAAGACTTTAGAGCATCATTATTTCCACAATCAAATTTACTACTAGCTACCAACATTTCTAAACAAAGTTTTGTCAATTCTATAATTCGGTTACTCTGTCTCTTAATTATGAAAATATAGCTTCTATCAAAGTTTCTAGGTTTTATAGCTAACATGTCATGTTTTAGGTTATATACCTATCACAGTAAATGCATGCTCTGGTAGCAGACACTTATTCATGCTATATCATCTTCCCATTTTATAATCGTGCTTTGGAAATGGTTCATTTAAACTCCTTGATACAGTTTTCTTGTAAGAGATATCTTTATGTAAAGTAATATTACTCTGTCATTTGTGTTAGTCTTTAAGTTTACCATCAGTCAAGAATTTAAATGAATGAAGTATGCTTATATGAGCTGTGAATCGGATGTCTTTTGAAGACACAATTCAGAATGGTAATTCTCTGTTTCTTTATTAGAAACAATGAAAGAATGAATACAAGCTCCAATACATAGAACCTCAGGTTCAGAAGGAATACATTTTTTTTCTAGAGGCTTTGAGTATAGGATGCCATTTTAAAAAATAAAATTCTATTCAACTAACATGTTTTGTCTGTACAATGCTAATTAAAATTTCACTTAGAAACTTGTATTGCTTCAGTTTACATGAAAAATAGTAGTTTTGAAATTTTACTTAATGTATATTAAAACTGTTTTCTAAGATTTAGTGCTAAACTCTTACCTTTCATTAAATATTAACTGTTTCACAAGATTTTTTTTTCCAGGTAGATCACTTTTATCTTAAGATTTAATACTTCAAGAACCAAATTTGTGAAGTCAGTACAGCTGTCCTTAGTCGTAGCTTTGGATTTTAGATAGCACTTCCAGCGTAATATGCTAGTTCTGGTAACTGGGGTGGCAGTAAGAACCTGCGGCACAACCAGTTTGGAGGGCACAGTTTGGAGCGGTTCTGTATTTTGAGTTCATGTGAAGCAGGAATTGTTATTCACAGTAAGCGTAGCAAAGACCAGGATATTTCCGTTTTCAAGTATTGAAAGGTATATTGCTGTGCTTTCTGAATTAGAAAAAATAAGTTTCCCTTTACTTTTAAAAATATTTTGAGTACCATTTTTTGTTAATCAGGGAAATTCTAGAGACAGTTTGGTGTTATCTAAGAAAACTGAAACCCATCAAGTTTGGATTTGAGTAGTTATTTACATTTTGGTCATTATATATTTTTCTCTTTATAAATTTACATTGTGTGTAGAGAAGATTAAAGCATATCAGATATAGAAGTCTCAGTTTGTAATATAAATATCAAATGTAATCATCTATCTACTGTGAATTCAAAATGTTTATGCCATTTTGACTTTTCTAGCGATGACATTGAAATTTGAGGCAAATTCTTCTTTAAATCTTTATTTGAATTTTGTCAAATATTTTCATTTGGCCCAATATTTATAGGTAAAATTTTTATTAATAATAGTGATTAAAGTAAATATATATTCATTTGTTTAAAAAACCTTTAATATTCTGCTTTGTCATAGTCAAATATTTTTCACTTGTTGCTATAGCTACAAAACACAAATTGGCAAATTCTTAAGAAAATTACTTCACATTTAAAAACAACATTATATTGTGATTTTGTAAGATAATCACAACACCAGTAACTAACACACTTATTTTTTTTATTTTAGGAAGCTAAAATAGCCCTTCTTACTTAAAACAACAAAAAAGCAAAGCAACACCTATTTAATAAGTTACTTTTGAACTAGATTATTATTTTAAATTCATAATTAAAAGAATATTGTCCACATTTTTTATCAGGCTTCTTCATATTAGCTCTATTACTACTCAGCAAGTTGTCTTTATTTAATTAGGAAAGCATTTCAGCGACTCCATGGTAATCTGTAGACATAATAAATCAGAATATAGTGGATATCTGTATTATAATTTGGTGTATTTTTGTATTGTGGTTATTGGATATTACCGAAGAATTAACAATTTATAAAGAATTATTATTTAAGGTAATGATATAAATATATGCTATAGGAAATTAAAGAAATTTTAAGAAAATCTGGCATTTAACTTGGAATATGCATTTTTAAATGTTTACTCTTGTATTTTTAAGAGTATAATAAAATATGTAGAGGATATGAATCTTACATTAAATAGTTGTCCGTGGGCCAGATACAATTTTGAAATGTGTTTTGTTTCAAGAATTTTTGAAAAATTCTTTTTCTTAAAATTTAAATGATTTTCTAACATTTATGAGGAAGGAGATTTCACAGGAAATTCTGAATTTCCAGTTTGTCTTGGAAAAGTTGAAGCAGAGTAAAGGATGTTCCAGTTATTCACAGAACCTGTCCTTTGTACCCCGTTGTTTCATAGCTTGTCTATTTGTGTTATTGTCTAATGGAGTCAGATGTAGTGTAGGGGTAGAGAATGTGAGCTCTGTAGTAAAATAGGGTGGGTTCATATTCAGGCTTCAACACCTCCTAGTTATGTGACTGTAGACACATTACTTAATCTCTCTATACCTCAGTTTTTGGTTAGATGAAAATGATGAAGATATGTCATAGCATTGTTAAGAGGATGCAATGATGAGCTTTTGTTAGCATATATATTCATTGTTTAGTAGATGTTAGCTGTAAATAATCAGGCTTCTTGCTTGACCCCCTTAGGCATTCGAGTTGGTGATCCTTACTTTTCCCTAGTAGAGGGCTTCAGCAGAATTTCTCTGGTTCTGTTTTGTGATATAACTGATCATCTACATTTTGCTATTCTCTTCTAGATTATATTACCCAGAATTCCTTCTGTATAGTATTTAATATAAAAAATTCAATTTAGTAAAATTGAGGATCAGTGTTACTCAGTGATTCATGAGTCAGGCAGCATCCCATCTATCAATAGAGAGGAGCTCCAAGTTGTACAAAAGTCGAAGGCTTCTGTAGGCAGAATGGGGTAAGGGGTAGTTTGTTTCAGATTTCATTAATTTACCTGTGGGTGACTGACAGGCATTACTTATTGGGGATTACCTCACTAGTGCTGACCAGGTAATTCTAGGTTGACTGGTTAAAGGTTACATTCCTGGGAGAGGCTGAAACTGCAATTAAGTGAGGTATTAAGTCTTGGTTTGCTGATGTGGGATTTAGTTCAAGTGACTTCATTTTGTACTAATGAAACAATGACTTCGCTGTTTCTTCTTTAACAATTATAAGCATTTAATATGTGTTGATTGATTTGCGCACAACTACTGACAACCATCTAGATTTATGCATTTAGGATTTACAGTTTTCCCTAGTGTTGGTTTTGCCTAATCCTTTGCTTCTGTCAGTGTAGCTAGAAAGTTCAAAAATAATTTAATTTAAGAATCATTATGTAAATTGGAATTATTTACAGACATAACAATTAAAGAGGAAAACCTTCAAAACTATAAAAGAAAAAATAGGTGCTGATTTCTGTAATCTTGCCTTTGTAAACATATTGCTAGAGACAGAAACCATACAGGAGGTAGAGATGTATTTGAGTGCATGAAAATGAAAAAATTGCTTAGGTTACAAAAATGCCACATACTTTGAAGACAAACACAGTCTGAAAAAAATATGTGTCCTATGAAAAAGGTTTAATGTACTTAATATTTCAGAGCATGCTTAAAATCACGAAGCCAATCATAATAATAAATTCTATCCACACAGGACAATGCACATACGTCAGAGGAAACGTGAAGTCTTCGGTAACTTCGCTAGTTACCAAGCAAATGCAGTATTAAACTTTGACTGTCACTCTGGTCCATACCTGCCCCAAAGGAATTACCCATTGCTGTTGTTATGAAGGTCCATGAGAAATGAATTGTGTACTAGTATTTCTAGAGCAAAATTTGCCAAAAACACATTGTAAGGACCCATGGACAAAGACAACAGGGGTGAGGGCGGAAGGATTGAATGTGGAAGCTGGGGAGAAGTCTATAGGGCAGGGGAGAGTAATGAGGGGAAAATGCAGACAACTATAATTGAACAACAGTAAAAAATTTTTTTAAATATATGTTTGGGTCCAACAATTAGACTTACAAGAATTTATCCTAAGACAATAATGATGGATGTAGCACAGATATGACTAAACTAATGAGGCCGTTTATAATGTTGAATAATTGAAAATATTCTAATTGTTTACTAATAAGGAATTGGTTACATAAATTGTTATAGCTGAATAGTGGAATATTAGGATGCATCAGAAGTGATAATAGATTTTTATGGCAAGGAAAACACAATAATTTATATAATCAGTATATTTAGCATGATGGATCACATTAAAAGTACATGTGTGTATATACTTTCTAGTTTATATATATGTATAAATACGTAGTATATTATATTAAAATATTTATATATATATTTAATGCCCAAGAGAAAGGCAGAAAGGATGTGTAAAATAAACTGGAATGTCAACCGCAATACTTTTAGCTACTACAACTGTGAGTAATTTGTTTGCTATATTTTCTACATTGTGAAAGTTTCTGTTGTAAATGTTTTCTATTTTGGCAGTGAAACAAAAAGATATTACCAATGTGATAATAATTTAACTGAAAATTCAACTTTTTGTGCAGTTTACTGACAATATGATTGAGTATTGAGGTAAAGGTTACCAACAAAGTTCCAATTTGGGAAGAAAGTGTTGACACGGAAATTTAATGTCACTTTTTCAAATTCTTCGCATATGCTATCAGTGTGTAGCGACAGTCCCTGGAGCCGGTAGAAAATTTGTTAATGTCTGTAATGCTCATTTAATCATTTACTCTTGTATTTATTCCCAGTCATAGCAGAAAGAAAGAATGTTTATTATTTTTCTCTATTTTTCATCCTCCAGGTAATCACTTTTGCTGACCCTGTCCAGTACTCACAATGTATCACTCCTTGTCCGAAACCAGACATCCCCTGCAGCCAGAAGAACAAGAAGTGGGTATTGACCCCTTGTCCAGTTACTCGAACAAGACAGGAGGTGAGTTTTGTGTGCAGACACATTCCATGGTTACTGGGAACCCTAGCAGTTCAGTTAGTTCTGCCTGCCTTGAGTGTGTAATTCTGTGAAGGAAGCTTAGGGCAACTTCAAAGAACATTTCCCTGGATAGAGCACTCTGAGGAATAAATACCACAAAACGTCAACTTTTGTTTATAAACAAAAGCATTAGTCAGATGTTTAATGTGCTGTCATTTGTTTTTAAAAAAAACATACTTAATTACTTCAGCATAAGGATGTTGAAATGTAAAATGACTTTTGTCAAACCTCTTTTAAAGGAGTTTAAGCTTTTTGGTGTTGATTTTACAGGGACTTCTTTTTCCTCTATCAAGTTGAAATTATTCCACAATAAAAGACTGGCCTGATTCTTCTTTTAATAAAACATAATTGAAATTGATGTTGTACTTTAAAAGATCTACGTTTTGAACTTTTTAAAAGATAGATTGTTAAAAGGTAAACTGTACTGAGAGGGCCTATCCCATAAATATTTACCAAATGTGTTTGTGTCAGAACTCTGTATTTTTCTCTCAGTATGAGTAATAATAATATATCATCTTAGAAGAAATGAGTTTGTTAAAATTCTTGAAGCCTTCTCCTTATTTTTAATTAATTCACTGAATGTTTGATACAAAGTCGATGCATTGACTCAGGAATCTCCTTGTTTTTCACTCATGAAAAGCACGTATCTGATCGGGATTATGAGATCTATTTTAAAATTCATAATTAGTCAAAGTAACTTACATGTGTTTTGGATACTTCAAATGCATTTTTTGTTTCTGTATTCATGTAAAGGTCTGCCATTAACTCATGTTTTGGGAACTTTTTAAATAATTGATTCCTTAAAATGGCCATCTCTTTAGTGTACAAGCTGTTGACTTTTTGGAGTGTGTCATTGAAAATAGTATAATTTGCCATACAACTTATTTTTCTGATTTTATTTTAATATTCACTTTTATTTAAAAGGTCTCAAAAAGACGGCTTTTTTAAGGTTTTACAATATGAAAAATAAAAATTATTATTGTCTCATTTCAATTTCAACCTTTTTTTTTTCAGTTTCAGCATTTTAAAAATTTTAGTGGTAACAATACTACCTTCCCTAGTAATGTTTTTTCTTAAAGGCAATATCTCTAAGAATCATTCATAATTAAGGAAGTCCAATTATTTTGCAAATCCTTATGTAAGGGGATATTATAAAAGTGAATATTGTCTGTGTTGTATATATATAAAATAGTTTCACCAAAATTTTCTGGCTAAAATACTTATTTTAGAGCTTAGAGGTTTTTTTCTTAAGTGCATGTTTTTCTCTGGTCTAGTTCATTAGATATTGAGTGTTTAAAAAAACTGGTTAAAAATATTTTAAATTTTGTCTTTTATTGTTGCAGGAAGGAGTAGTTACCTTTACTAAAAAGGCTTTTCGTTTATATCCTTGCCTAACATTTCTGTGACATACAAAGTTATTAGGACTGAATTGATGTTTAAAAGTGCCATTAATTCATTTACCCCAAATGTTCATTAACAATGTAAATGTATGCTGATGTTCTATGAGACAAGGAAGTGACTAATGACTCTTCCAACTAACAACACTTAAAATGAATAGAAACTTTAGATAGCTAATCTTGAAGTAATCAAGACCCTCATTCAGCTTGGCATCTCTGTATGCTCTAAAACAGCTGTCAACTGTTAAAAATATATACAAAACACACATACGCACACACACATGCAGAAAGAAAGATATGTAAATATCTAGTTCGTCAAAGCCATAAAGGTTACTAACCGCAGTGGATTTTGCACATTGTATATGTAAATATTTTATATAAAGCATCTATTTCATCCTTTTAGATTTCCCTTTTGCAGAATAACGTGTGTTGCATTTTAATGCAGTTGTCATACTTACTTGAAAAATCATCACCTTTCTAGTATGTTTATTTTCATATATGTCTTTCATGGGGCTCTTCCTGTATTTGAAGGCTTTTGCACATTTTTCCCAAAAGGGAATTTGTGGCAACTGGATGATTCATTTTCTAAGTAGTCCAACATTGGACTTCAATCAGTGGTTTCCCTGTGTAGGATTCATGGTTGTTTTTTTTTTTTAACTCCAGTTGTAGATTACTTAAATAAACAAGATTTTAATTTCTCAGTCTGAATATAAGCATGCTCATAAAGAAACAGTACATCACTAAATTAAATGATGTTGAGTATTCTGCAAAGCATTAGCAAAAATAGCCATATGTGTAGGAATGATAGAAAACTAGGTATCATCGGTTTGTTCTCATGGGTGGTTGATAAAAGTAGGTGAGGTCAGAAAAAGAACTATTTAGATATATACATGTAAGATCTTAGGGCATATATTTCATGTTAATTAAACTTTAAACTGCTTGAATTGCTTTTCCAAATAGAGAACAGCATAGCAAGTATGACATTTTCTCAGCGGCATATTAAATTTGATTATATACATAAATTAAATTTCAAGATCTTTGAACAAAGGGTAGTAATTAATAATTGGCAAGTTACCTGTAATTCTGTTGAAACCATAAAAAAGAAAAATGTTTAACTATTAAGGATTCTTCATTCTTAGTATGTAACTTAGTGATCAATTAAGTGAAAAAAGTAATCATTTTATTTTAAACTGAAAACAGTGGTATCAAGAGTTAGGGACAGTTAACCTATTAATAAAATAACATCCCTGGTGCGACTAGCTGTTTTCACAAGCTTATGAGGGATTGGAATGTTGTTCATGATGAGAGAACATTTTCCTCTATTGAGAATATTATTCTCTTTTGAGAATAGTGTTTTGTCACATATTTCCGGCATTTTTAGCTTCAGTTTTATATGCCTTCTTACTTACAGTTTTGATAGTATTTAGATAATTACTACTTAATGTAATGCCTTTTTGTATAATACCTGTTCCAAAGCTTTCTTTCTGTCATCATGTGTAAAATATTTAGTAACCTACTTTAAAAAATCTAAGATGTTCTGAATCTCCTGTCTATTCCATTTTTACCTCTAGTAATCTTGCTTTTGCCTCAATTCCCTTTTTTCCTGTTATAATATCATAGAGTTTTAGAACTGGAAGAGAGTGCTTGGCTTTATTGATGAATAAATTGGCAATAGTTAGAATAGTTCATTGGAGTTTATATAATAAAAGTATGCTCTGTTATGATCTTTAGTATTGTTGTCCATGTACTAGAAGTAGATTTAGATTTGAATAAAACACATACTTGTTCTGCTGAAGATACCTGAAGATGGCCAAAGTAAAGGATGCTGTCTGAACCATTGTACTCACCTTAAACCCTTTCCCTTAGTCTAATTGTCTGGAGTCATCTTAGGGAGGAAGAAAGTGGCCCTTTGCTGACTTACAGCTCTCCACTGGTTTTTACTGACTAATAATGAAATTCAAACTTTTGATCATGACATTTATAGTGGTCTTGCTAAAGGTTTAAGAAAATAGACGCTTCCACTGGAGACAGTCATTGTTACTGTGGCATTGTGCTTTTTGTAATCTCCCATGAATCCATAGTCTTGAATATGTTACTCTGTATTTCAACAAAACTAATTGTGTGCTTTATACTACACTGGTGTGGTGGCGTGGTGAGGAAAGAGTTATGGTTGTACTTGAAAAGTTAAAATCAGTGGAGGAGTCCTTGGGTTTTGGAAAGTTGGAGGAGATGCAGTTTAGAGCCAAGATAGAGTGATTTGTAGACAGAGGGTCATTATTTTCATTGTAATAATACTAGGGATAGGAAAGAAGATGTTTAGGTACACTAAGTTTATTAGTTCAGTGGCAGAGAGTTCAATGAAATATCACTGATATTTTAATCTTTTTGTAAATTAAGGTGAGGTAATTTGCATAAAGTGAATGATAAGATGGAGCATTTGGAGATTTTGGAGATTGACAAAGGTTACATTGAGTTGATGAAGAACACACCGCCTTGGGAGGCAAGTTTAGCTTAGACATTCTAATTTATAGGCGATACCAGCTTGTAAACGTGAATGATTATGTCCAGTAGCATTTGGCATCTAGGACGTAGCCACATGTGAAGCAGGCAGGGGTTTTTCAGAGAGTGTAACAGGTACTACAATAGGCAAGGAAGCTGCTGGTGAAAGAACTCATTGATGGTTTGAAAATACAAGGAAATCTGCTATTATGTAATGGCATTCTAAGAAGGCAGAGTAGAAAATTTTGGAAAGGATGCAGTCAGGAGGTGAGGTGATCGAGTAGTGTGGTGATGGGGGTCAGAAAGGGGAGTCAACAGTGTACTCATGTGTGCGTGTTTGATAAGTATATTAATTCAATGGAACATTGTCTAGTGGTAGCCAGTAAACCAGCTCAATAACTTCATTAGTAGATTTTGAATTTACTTGGATTTGGAATAGGTTTAGGTTTGAAGTCTTTTTTATTTTAAATACTTTGTTTTTGGGGAGCAGATTTAGATTCACAGTCAGACTAAGAGGAAAGTATAGATTTCCCATGTACCTTCCACTCCCACACATGCACAGCCTCCCGCTTATCAACATCCCCCACCAGGGTGGCACTTCTGTTAGAACTGATGAACCTACACTGACACATTATAATCACCCAAAAGTCCATAGTTTGCATTAGGATTCACCATTGGTATTGTATATTCGATGGTTTGGACATATGCATCAGGACGTAGTCATTATTATAAGTATCCTACAGAGTATTTTTACAAAATTCACTATGCTTTGCCAGTTTTTCCCCTCATCTCCCTCCCTGTCCCTCAACCCCTGGCAACCAGTAATTTTTTACTGTCTTCCTAGTTTTACAAGAAGTACTTTTTAATCAAAAATTCTTTCTAGATAGCAAGGAAAAGAGGTAATTTAGATAGATCAAAAATTAGGTAAGGCTATAAAGTAATCAAGGAAAACAGTAATTTTGTTGAAGATAAAGATTGTTAAATAAATGAGTGACTTGGAAGATCTTAAATGACAGTAACAAAGATTTTTTTAGAAAGATAAAATGT